CCCCCCCCAAAATTTCCATCACTTTATTTTGCAAAAATAGAAAAGTCCCGTGTCCCCCCCCGGCGCGGGAGGGGGCGGGTGGGCTGTAAACATGGCAGGGGGGACCCCCAAAAAGAGGGGTGGGGTTAGCGGGGGGCAGCGGGGGGGCCCCCGGGCTGGGGGGGCCCGATGTAAACGCAGAGGAATAAATAGGGGTGAAAGTGCAGCCCCTCTGTGTAGTGTAACAGGCTCCCCCTGAGGGCTCTGCACCCCCAAATTTGGGGGGGCAAATGTAAGAGCGGGGGCAGTAAGGCCAGCCCCCCCCATCCAGCCAGGCTGGGAGTAACAGATTTGGGAGGGCATTTGGGTCTGGGGGGAACCCCAGGATTTTGGGGTCACCCTATGGCTTGAGCCCCCTYCCAAAATGGGAGGGGTTGTGGGGGTCACCTTGTGTCCCCCATCTTTGGTTTATGTAGTGTTTGGGGGGGCAATTTTGGGGTGTCCCTCCCCACCCCAACAACATCAAAAAGCAAAACCCACAAGCAGCCTCCCCCAAATAAAAACGGGGTCCCCCCAAATTAGGGGGGGTGGGATGTCCTGGGGGGGGCAATGGGGGTGTCCCCCCCAAAATCCACCCTGTGTCCAATAAATAAACTGCGGGGGGGGGGCACCCCGAGAGTGTCAGGCATTAATTTGGGGGGGAGGGGCTGGGCCCCCGAGCTCCCCCCTCAATTCCCCCCCGGTACAAGGGGGGGTGGCAGCGGGGTCTGAGGGGCTTTGGCATGAAGCTGAGGTTGGGGGGGGCCCAGACCCCCCCAGCTTAAGGCAATAGCTTTGCTCTGTCAGTCTCTGCCCCCTCCCCCAAATTCGAGGGGGGGGCGCTTTGGGGAGCTCCCCCTCCCCGGAGCAAAAGGGGGGGCCCTGGAAGGCAGCTCTGAATGTCCCACCCCACTGGGGAGGGGCTTTGGGGACCTCCCCAGGATGGGGGTGGGGTGCTATGGGGATTTGGGGGGGCCAGGGGGGCTGTCCTGGGCAGCGGGGGGGTCTGGGGGTGGGGGGTGCCCCTCTCCCCCCACCTCGGTGAAGATTTCGGGGTTCTCCAGCATCTCCCGGATCAGGGGGGGCATCGGCCCCGGGATCTCCGTGCGCAGGGTGATGGCTCGCTCTGCTCCTGGGGGAGCCAAAATGTCAGAGTTCCCTCAAGGCCTCCTTCCTGAGAGACTGAACCCCCTCCCAAAAAATGAGCTTTAATTCCCCTTCAAATTTCAACACCCCCCAAAACCTTGGATCCCCCCCCAAGACCTTGAACACCCCCAAAATGAACTTTAATCCCTCCAAAACTCTGACACCACTCCCAAGAGATTGAATTCCCCCCAGAGACCTTGAATCCCAAAATTCAAAATCTCAACATTCAAAATCTCAAAAATGAGCTTCAACACCCTCCCGCCTTCCAACAGCCCCCAACTTTCAAAACCTCCCCAAATTTTCAATGCCTTCAAAACACTGACCCCTCCCAGATACCTTGATCACMAAAATGAGCTTCAAACCCCCCTCAAAACCTTGAAACCCCCCAGAACCCTCAATCCTCCCCTCCCTGAGAATTTCAACTGGTGCCAAGGGCAGGTTTGGGGGGGTCCTGGTGGGTTTTGGGGTCCCGGAGGGGTCTCAGGAGGGTGTGGGGGTCACTCCAAAACCGTCGGCGACTTTGAGCAGCATTTGAGATGACCGTGGCTGCGGGGGCCTTGGGAGGGATCTCAGGGGGGACTGGGGGGTTTTGGGGTCCCCGTGAGGTCACCCGGCTTTGGGGGTCGCTCACCCTTGGTGCTGATGCCGCGCAGGTCGGTGATTTTGAGCAGCATCCGCGGGAAGCGCTGGGGCTGCCGCGGGCGCCGGCGCCGGGCGTAGAGGCGGAGAGCCTCGAGCAGCGGCTCCTGCAGCCGCTCCACCCGCCGGGGCTGCTCCAGCTCCATCCGGTCTGGGGA